GGAGCACAATATAGATTTCAAAGATCTCTCTTCCATGCCTATGTTAAAATTACAGAAAATTCTCTAATAAATGGAACCACAAAGACAACTTCGTTCAATGGACCTATGATGATCAACATCAATTGAGGCCTACAATGAACGTACACCCAGCAAAAATGTTTGCCATTGTTATAGAAGATGTCTTGTGCAGAGGAACTTTCTAGAAAGGGAGAGTTCTAGATTATCCTGTTTGTGGACGAGTGTGTTGATTGTATCAAGCCCAAGAATACTATGGGGCCTCCTCAACCAAGTACAAAACTATTTTTTAAAAAGAAATCAGAAACCTGTGTGACTTCTTAGACCTAAAATATCACATAGGCAAAACAAATTTTTTTGAAAAGTGCTTAGTATTCAGACCATGGCATGTAGTTTGGATGGACAACCCATTAACGTAGTATACCACTATATGATCTTAGATAAGGCATTGCTTTCAATGATCCCAAGTTACTCTCTAATAGAAAAATCCATCTTTTCAATATCAATATTCTCTTATCGATGCTGACTAGCTATGAATCATAGAAATCTACAATATAAAAAAAATAAAAATTGCAGATAGTCCAAAGGACAATGGAGAGATGCATAGCAGACATTAATAGAATGTAGCATATTGCCAATGAAAATTTGTTTGCAAGAAGTGATATAAAAGATAGTATTCAATATATATAATATGATTAGAAAAGTGCTTGGCCCCAATGCATACTGAGAGATAATGGATAGTCTGAGTGATACACTGGCTTCTTTGGAAGGATGAAAAGAGTAGAGAAAGACCTCTAGTGCATTGGGTAGGTGCGCTATGGGGAATTAATATGAGGATATGAATCACCGAGGTTAAGATGATGTGGATGTAATGGTGAAAGAAGTACCTCAATTGATGAGTTTGTGACTCCAATAAATTATTGGAGTATTGATGTTCTCAGTGAGAAGTCATGGTACATTTACTTTTTATTTCTGTATGTGATTACTGACTTTATCTTGCTTAGTCTGCTAGATTAGCATTGTTGTCCAAATTGAAATGTGCAATGCATCTTTGGAAATCCAAATGACGTGATCAAGTATCAGAGCCACAGATTCTATACAGGTGCCATGCATTGTTCATGGCCATATCAATAATGCAGCTTACCGGAAATTGAGGGGATGCCCATCCATTGGGGAGTGGCTGAACAAGTTGTGGTATATGAATGTAATGGAATATTATTGTTCCATAAGAAATGATGAGCAAGTGGATTTCAGAAAGACCTTGAAAGACTTTCACAAACTGATGCTGAGTGAAGTGAGTAGAACCAGGAAAACATTGTACACAGTAACAGCAACATTGTTCAATGACCAACTTTGATAGGCTTAGTGCTTCTCAGCAATACAATGATCTAAGACAATTCCAAAAGACTATTGATGGAAAATGCCATAAGTGTCCAGAAAAGAACTGTGGAATCTAAATGCAAATTGAAGCACACTATTTTCTCTTTTTTGTTTATTTTTTCTTTCTCGTGGTTTTTCCCTTTTGATCTGACTCTTCTTTCACAACATGACTAATATGGAAATATGTTTAATATGATTGTACATGTATAAGCCTATATCAGATTGCATGCTGTCTTATGGAGGGAGGAAGGGAGAGAGGGGGAAAATTTTAGAACTCAAAATCTTGTACAAGTGAATGATGAAAACTAAAAATAAATACATTTTTAAAAAATAATAATGTAGCTTACCAAAACTGAATACCATTTTTTGCTTCTGATTCTTATCCTATACTTGGAAATATTTTGCTTCATCTTGGCAACACTATACCTATATGCTTCATATGACTTAATTATTGATGGCTGACTTATTTGAACTCTTTTTTTCATCAACGGAATAGCTTACTTGGCTCAGTGGTTCTATGTCTACAGCACTGAAGCACAAATTGATGAAATTTTCATTATTCCAACGACACAAAATTATCTCTTTCTTTTCCTCCACTCTGAAATCAAATGACCCCCTTTTCACTTTTTTCATATTTTCTGCATTCATGAAAGGATATTTTTCTTCACCCCTTTCTTTTTCAGAGCTGATACTAGTTTGATACTTGTGAAAAAGTTGTCAAAACATATATGATAAGGGTACTATCGTCACTCCAAGAGAACACCAGCAAAGTTCATTATTAATTTCCCACTTGAACTAAGATCATGATTTTTATCTGCTTTCAGGACTGATTCATCTTGATAAGGTTCAAACCAAACTAAATAACCCTGGGTAGTTGCCCATACCATACTTTACAACCAATTCTAATAGGTTTAAGAATTGGTCACCATTAAAAGATTCATACATCAATTTATCAAAGCAGTAATATTACTTCAAGGGAGCATATAAGAGGAAATTTTTATTCATTTGATCTGTAATAGGGCATCAATTTTGTAAAGTTGTCTGATCTAGACAACTGTTATCTGCAAAATGGAGGCTTAAAAACATTAATTCAAACTTTTCCCTTCTAATTGCATTGCTAATAAGACTGCTCTTTATCTGAACTTTCCCAATACATTCCTCTCCTGGGATGACAAATATATCTATTCAAAAGAAGAACACCAAAAACACACCATTTCCTGAACTGTAACTTTCCAAGGTGACATTTTTCTGAGAAGATAATGATTTGTTTCATCAACAATTAACTTGAATGTTTCATCATCAAAAAATAATTCAAAGAACTATACTGGATTTAGTTTCTTACTTTTGGGATTCAAAATTCCAGAATCCAATGCTGACCAGTTTGGAAAATCGAGTTGAATATCTCTTGATCCAATTCTTCTCTATAATGGTAGTGACTTTCTGCTTCTTTCTAGCAGGGTGTGACTCAACTTCATCTTCTTCATCAACATCAGAATCACCAGAGAACGTAAGACCTTGTAGCAATTCACTTACTCTGGATTTGTCTTTTTTCTTATCTTTCCTTGTAATGTCACCTGAAGCATATTCCCTTGATAAGATGTGCATTCTACACCTTAAGTCCCCAGGATTACAGTCTTTAAGAATATGCAGGGGGCAGCTAGGTGGCGCAGTGGATAGAGCACCAGACATGGAGTCAGGAGGACCTGAGTTCGAATTCGACCTCAGACACATAACACCCACTAGTTGTGTGACCCTGGGCAAGTCGATTAACCCCATTGCCTTAAAAAAAAAAAAAAGAATATTCAAAAATTCAATGTTTTTTTTCAGCTTTTACAGGAGAACCAACAAAGACCTGAGGTGAACAATCTCTTTCAAGTGTACTTGACGCCTCTTCCTGTAGGCCAATTTCTTCAGAAATTTCTTGCTTTGGAAGCAACATTCCATCTTTAAGCATGATCTCTCCAGTTAGCAAGTTAAAGTTCCTAAAATTCTTCTGCGCCACCTTCCCACGTGTATTCTTCTGAGCTGGGTGAAAACATTGCCACTCTTCTGAAACAAGGAACTGGGCTTCTTCCTCAGTCTTCACTGACGTCTAGGATTGAGTAGAATTAAAAACTGATACCAGTCTGGTCTCTGAGGAGTTCCCCTAGTGATGAGAAGAACCCTGCAAAACAGGGACAGTATTCTCTTGTAGGGAATAGGGATCCTGAGATTCACACTTCAGCTGGAGGTTTTGTGATTCCTGGGATGTTCCTTGATGCTCTGATTCTTCTGGATGTTCTTCTAGTCTTTGTGCAAGAAATGAAAACTGCTGTCCAGGTTCATTCGGGGTGTTGCTCCAAATCCTCCAACATAATAATTACTTCCTCTCAGTTTTGTGAAAAACACTTCTTCGCCCAGGCCCAGAGCTCCTGGGGCCTGATAGCCAGAAATTGCTCCAGCACCAACAGCTCCATAATCTGCTCCTTTGTACGCACCTCAGGCCTCACCCGCTGATAGCAAAGTCCCCATAGTTGGCTCAAAGCCTCTCTGGACCTGGTTGTCTTCTGGTAGCAAAACTATCTGAAATGCTGCTGAAAGATCTCCGGGATAAGGTAGTTGTTTTCTAGTTGGCTGGATTCCTGTTCCCAAGTATGGTCTTCTTTCACTTGGAAAACTTTTTTCTGCTCCTCTGCAACTGCGACAGAAAAGCCTTCTAACATCTTGAGAGTGAATATCACAAACCCACTGAGGGTATCATGGTTCTTTCATTGAAGAAGCTTCCTGATTTGCATTTCAACTCATATCAAAAAGAATTTAAGTGCTTTCAAGTCCAGAAGACCTAGGTTCAACTCAGAACAAATCCTGGTTGTGTCACCCTGTGCTCACTCTCTCAATAACCACCCAATAAACTCTTTGTGGCTAGAAGTTGCAAAACAATCACCCATCTGAATAAGTGGAGAGAATTTCCTTGCTGGGTGCTCCCCACACAGATTGAATCACAGGTGAAGACCACCACCATCAACAAAAAAGTACCCAACATAGAGCTAATCGCTGGTAGTGAAGTAAGGGACCTCGAGAGAAGTTAAAGACAGACTCCAAGGAGTTTGCAGTCTGTAAGTGAAAGAACATAGACCAGTGAGAGACTGGTACTGCAGGCTGGGCAGGGAAGTGCAATATGTTTCTGGTGATCTGGAGCTAAGTTTCCTTTGAAAAGTTAGTATCAGAGGAACCCTATCTTCCCCTTTCCCCAGCAGCAGGAAGGGGGAAGGAGAAAAGAGAGAACTCAGTACGTGTGTGTGTGTGAAAGAGAGAAATCAGCCAGCCTAGGCCGCAATACCGGGGAATTTGAAGAGGTTTCAGAGAATCAAGAGTAGAACAGCTACTTCTACAGGAGAGATAACATCACTGTGTGTCAGGTGGTGTGGTGAGGGAGAGAGAGAGAGAGAGAGAGAGAGAGAGAGAGAGAGAGAGAGAGAGAGAGAGAGGTGTCTGTGAGTCCTTCTGTTCAGCCCAGTTTCCTTAGACAGCGGGAGGAGTGAGGGGCGGTGCAGCGCTGCCCGGAGAGGAGGAGAGAGAGAAGGAGGCGGTGGCGTGGCGTGGAGGCAGCTATGCACCGCGCCCCGCGCCTCCCTGCCCCCGCCTCGCTAGGTGAGCCGGCCAGCCAAGCGCCAGGGCCATGGCCATGGGCACCTTGGGGAAGGCGAGAGAAACTCCGCGGTAAGTTCGAGGCCCCGGGATAGCTGGACTGCGGGGGGCGAGACACCCCTCCCCATCCTCCTCCGCTCCCCCTGACAGTCCTCCTGACGCGTGCCAAGTGCACCCACGCTTGGCACTTAACTTTCTTGCTTCGGGCCCCTTTGCCGTCTGGGGCTGCGATCATCACGAGCCGCCCTCCCTCCGGTCCCTTTCCCGCCGCTCCGCTCTCGCCTTCCCCTACCCGAGCTCTCGGGAAGATGCTGCATGGGGGTAGTGGGCACAGTGGGTAGCAGCATCTGTCCTGAAGCAACATCGGTCCTGAAGCCCCGGGGGCTGGGGGGACGAGGGGACAGCGAGCACGCGAAAAGTACAAAAGCGTCTTCCACTCCCGCTGCCCCACTCAGGAGTGGATGGGGAATGGGGAGCCTTCTGGGGTGGCGGGATGGAGGCAGGGAACGCGACTTGGCCGAAGTTCCCTGTACTTTTTCGGCAAGGGTCAAGATCAGAGCCAAGGAGCACTGCGCGGACTTCCGACCTCGCCCGCCCCCTCTCCGGACTCTCCTTTGCGCCTCTCTTGTCCTTCTTTCCTTCCCCGGGCACTTAGTTCCCTAAGCGATCTCCAGTGCCGGCTCCCACCCTGCGGAGTTTCCGTGGACCGCACCTGCTGCACCCGCAGGGTCCAAACGTCGCCATCTGGCGGCAGCTCGCGGATCGGACCGACCTGGAACCGGGGCCTAGACCCCTCCCCCGGAACATGTAGCTTTTAGAACCCTTGGGGTTTGTGCTGCAGTGCAGGAGACCTGGCCCCCTCGCTCTAAAAGATTGCGATCTGATGAGGGGAGATAGAGAAACATTGACGGAAAGCTGTCAACTCTTAGCTAACCAACTGCTACTCAGATGTACTTACTGTGAAGTGTTTAAAGCCTGGGAGGATGAAAGAATGAACATAAATACGTGTGAATATGTATGTGAGGGTGACCTGGCTTGGAGGCTGGGAGCGGCCTGGTAGCGCCTGAGATACAACCCCCAAACCGCTGGCAACTTAGGCTGCTGCAGGTATCAATCTACCAACAGCCCTCCTGTGTTAGGGCACTTTGGTCCTGGGAGAAGGACTTAGAAGGTCTTCACCATCCATTGAAAATAAAGTTGTGGGAATTACAATTTTCCCATTCCAGCCCGGATTCCTGGGCTGGAGCACAGACCGAAAGGTATTCCCTCCATCCTAACTATCCCTAGGAGAGCCTACTACCCCATTCCAGAGGGCTGATCGTGAGTATTGATTCAGAACTGGAAGGAACTCCCCCCCCCCCCCCCCTCCCCAGGCCATTAACCCTAATGCCTTCTTTAACAGATAAGGCTCAGGGAAGTTTAGTGACTTGGCCATGGTTACTCACAAAGGGAATCAGTAAGGTGAGTGAACCTAGGTTTCTTATTCCAAATTCAGAGGTGTGAACGAGTCAGTTCATATTGGCTGGCCAGCAGATTGTTAACTTTTTAATGTGAGCATTTACACTTGGGAGCTTGATTTATTGTTTTGTTGGTCCTCTAGAATTAACAAAGTGATGAAGAAAATGTTAATGCAGATTAAACTTAAAAGCATGTCCTGCAAGGGAGTAGATTATTAAAACTTCTGGAATGCACCACACTTTCCAGATTGTTTTTAAGATATCTTGGTGTGGTGGGAGGGAAGGAGCCAAGGCATTCTAAGTTCCACCATAATTTTAACTTTACCCTTTGGGTGCTGGACTTTGAAACTGTCTCTTGGTCTATATTTAGAAGGTTAACCACTTTAGTGACTTTCATAGCAAGATTTTAAAACACTCTGGAAATTCTTACAAAAGTATTGTTATCTTCAGTCATACCATAGAAAGGGGACATGGAGAAACAGAAAGATCCAGGAATTTGTCATGAGGCCATAAATGGGGTGAGTCAGTGGCAAGAGAAGGCATGTTTCTTGATTCATAGTGTAAGGAACTCATTACTTGTCAATTTTCCCAAGTTTTTTTTTTCCTCTTAGCCCCTAATTGAATTTTGTAATTGAAGTTTATTATCTCTTTTGCTGCCCATCATGCTCAAGCCTTGGGTTCTTTAGCTTCTGCAAATCTTCTGTATTTCCCTGACATTTCCCTCTATTTCATTTTTTATCTTTCATCTTCAAAAATGTTGGATTTGAAGTCAGAGGACCATTTGAGTTCAAATCCTTGTTAAGCAACTTGCTATTTGTAGTTAAGTGACTTAATCTTTCTGGTCCTCAGTTTCCGTATTTGTGAAGTGCCAGGTTGGACCAGGTAACTTCTAAGGCCTCTTCTACGTCTAAATCAATAGGCTAGAAATGACTGAAGATCCTCAGTTTCCCTAAATACTTCCTTTGAGTTTGCAGTTTTTTCTCCTCTGATGTTTCCCAGTCTCTGAACCTATATACCCCTTCTGACTTTGATAACCAGTTTTCTCCCATTAATGACTGTGGGGAACATTAAGAGAGTGAGATTGCTAGGCCTATAAGATGAAACCTTGACTAGAGCTCTCTATTATCCTAATGTTGGATAAGAATTAGGGGGAGACATTACTTTTTCTGTTACTTTGCCCAGCTAGACCTGCTTTCTTCTCATTGTACTAAAAATGTGGGAGGAAGAAACACTGCAGCCAACTCTCAATTATCTGGGGCCAGGAATGGGATGGGATAGAGATTAAATAGATAGTGGACACCTACGGGTAATCCAAAGTGAGTAGCAAATATAGTCACTTTTCATTTCTTCCACACTAATGGAGGTGAGTTAAGGTATGGGGAATTCCCAAGTCACTTGTCTTTAGCTTTGTGATGTACTGTGTGATTCTCCCTGGATCCTAGTCAATTTGCTATCTGAATTATGGTCTGTTGAGGCAAATGCTGTGTTCCTTTCTTGAGAATTCTTTGATAGTGGGGTGGTAGCCCAGAAGTCTGTTGGGTGTCATGAGGACCGCAATCCAGAATGATAAATTTTCATTGTGTAATACACAGGTAACGTGATTAAGGAGTCAACCACACTCACTTGTAGATCAATCCTTAGTTAGCCTCATTACCATATGCATCCCAGGTTCTAATGGAATCCAGGGATATATTTGTATATTTTCTCATTAACGGACAAAATTTTGACCTTTTTTCTCATCAATCAGTTATCTCAGAGCCCCCAACCCAGTTAATTACATAGTATTTAATAAACTGGAGAAAACTCCCCATAAGCAGTCGCTTTTATATCTCTATGTCAAAACTCCTAATCTCCTGGGATTAATGCAATGTTAAAGTTGCTAACTATCTAATTTATTAATAATGTAACCAATAAGAACACAAAGACATAAAAATTATTTGCACTATTTTATCTGTGGGAAAGCTGGAAGCCAGAATCACCTTTAATCATCACTGTCATTGCAAATAACATTTTACTTCTGGAAACAGAGGTTCACTAGTCAGTTCACTCAAGATACCAAGCCAAGTCTCTTCTTAGGAATGCTCTTTACTCTCTTCACAAGATGAAGGTTAAGACAGCCCCCTCAAGAAAGGCCTCTCCTTGGGGCAGCTAGGTGGTGAAGTACATAGAGCACTGGCCCTGAAGTCAGGAGGACCTGAGTTCAGATCTTACCTCAGACCAAACACTTAACACTTACTGGCTGTGTGACCCTGGGCAAGTCACTTAACCCCAATTGCCTTACAAAAAAAAAAAGAAAGAAAGAAAGGCCTCTCCATCCTATTCTCTGTCTTCTCCAGCTTTTCTCTAACCATGACAGAAAAATAGCCTCTTCAGCTTGCATCAAGCCTTTATCACTCTTAACCATGTCCCTCCAGACTTAACTCCCTATAAAAATTCTCTTTATGCTGTTTCTTTGTAAAATAACAGCTAAGAAAAGTCTCCCAAGGAAGTTTTTCCTTATTGTCTTTCTTTTTGTTATCATCCCACTTCTTTTCAAGCCATCTTCATGAATTCTCTTCCAATCAGCCACAGCACTATCATGAATGTCTAATCAAATGTGTAGAAAGTAAGACTTAACAGGTAGAAATCCTGTCTTTTAGATGTTTTAGTAGATAAAGTATTGGACTTGGACACAGGAAGGTTTGAATTTGAATCCTGCTTTAGACACTGACTATCTGTGTGATACTGGGCAAGAAATTTAACCTTTATGGGCCTCATTTGTAAAACAACAGGGTTGGATCCAGTGCCTTTCAGCTCTAATTAGATGGGATCCTCCCTTTTTCCATCATCCTGCAAAGCATTTGGCATAGAATGATTGTGTACTAGATGAGCGATGAGCCCAGAACTGACCACAATTTTTAGCCTTCTTTCCCAGCCAACCTTTTCCCAAGAGCCGCTCACAAGACACAAAGTGGTTTGATTTGTGTTTTTTCTTTCCCTTGCTTGACAAGAAATTGATCTGCAATGAAATAGCCAAAAGGAAGCAGGTGAAAAAACAGGGTGGACCAATTGAAAATTAGATAGCTCTGGAGGATCAGAAATTGATTATAATTTCCCCAAAGGATCAAATTTTCCTGGAGGCTGAAGTAATATCCAGTGGAAAGGCAGAAGGAGAGGTTGTAGGCTTTCAGAGGGCTTTATCTGTAGCAGCTTCTCTTGTGAAGTCAACTCTATGGTTTATTTTAACAGAAGAGGAGGCATAGTCAAAGAATTTTAGTTTCATACCTTTCTCCAAATTTGAGACCCTTGTTTCATTTATGGAATCTGAGTAGTTTTTCCCTCCTCTCATTTTATTTTGAAAATCAAAGAATCCACAGAACTCAGTGAGTCAAATTCTTTAACTGACATACGGAGAAACCAAGGGCAGACAGGCAGAGTGCCTTATCTGAGGTTATACAACTCATTAGTCTCAAGACTGGGATTAGAACTCAGTCCTGTGTTCATGTGCTTTCAGATTCATGAAATCTCTGAGTTGGAAATTCCTTAGCACTTAATTCAGCCTCTTGCCATCAATCCATTTTAGGATATCCCTGACAAAGGGAACTTGCAGCCTTTCCTTGAAAACTCTCCCATCTATATCTGTTTCATCTGCTATTAGAATCTGCTGGTCAAGGAGAGGACCTTGAGGGGACTTCACATTCTACCTATGGAAGATCCTAGGGACAAAAGAGGAAGATCAGATCAAGAGTTTTAGCTATTAGCAGCCCACCCACTTTAACTAGCTGCCTGAGTACATAGTGCGTTGGCTAGGATGAAACTTCTGATATTATTATTTTACATTCCTTTATAAGCAAACCCCTAGGGAAATAAGCACTTGAAGAAACTGACCCAGTAAATGACCTCTTTCAAAAGTAACAGGAATGAGAAGAAAATGGAAAATGGGTTAAGCCATTCTTTTCTACTGTCTCTATTCCTCTTTCCTATATCTCCCTGCCTCCTCATAATCAGCAGTTTCTCATTTCTCTTCTTTTGGCCCCTGCTTCCTTTTCATTGTGTTAAATAGGTGGATAAAGAATAATACTTCAGCTAACTCTCAGTTATCTGGGTCCCTGGATGGGATAAGATGGGATGAGATAGTGATAAGAACAATGTTTGACACCAAGCAATCCAGATTGTGTAGCCAATGCAGTTACTTTTCATTTCTTCCACACTAGCAGAGGTAAACTGAGGCACTGGGATTCCCCATTTTTATTAGGCTTTGGAATGTACAGTTTGATTTTTGCCACTGTCCCTCCCACCACAGCCCCCCTCCCTGGAAAATTTAATCTTCTTAATCATACTCTACTTATAGTAATATTCTATTTTACTCAAATATTCCTTGATGATAGGGAAGTAGCCCAGAAGCCTTCTGGATGTCAGAAAGACACCAGTTCAGGAGAGGTTTTCAAACTGTGAGTGGGCCCATAGGAAGAATGGCTGTAAACCTGACTGAATCCCTCAAAACTAACATTGCTTTGCTAAGATCTTTCACACTGCAGAGGCAAACTTGGTAAAAAAAAAAAATCATAACAATGACTTGTATACTGTAGCCCCAGTAAATAATTATTGATTTTAACTTGACTGAGTGGATCCTAGCCTGAGCCACTCTCAGTGACATAGGTTCCGAGTTGTGTTGGAAGCAGGTTCAACAGACTTTTGGGAGCCATTTGTTAAATTCTTAATGTGAGCATTTACACCTTTGTTGTCATTCAGTCATATCCTACTCTCCTTGACTCCATTTGGGATTTTCTTGGCAAAGATACTAGAATGGTTTGCCATTTCCTTCTCCAGATCATTTTACAGATGAGGAAAGTGAGGCAAAGAAGGTTAAACAACTTGCCCAGAGTCACACAGCTATTAAGTGTCTGAGGCCAGATTTGAACTCAGGAAGATGAGTCTTCTTGACGTCAGACCCGGCACTCTATCCACTTTACCACCTAGCTAATTCCATTTACACCTTGGAAGTAGGCAAATCAGGGCTTGATTTATTGTCCAGACTTAAGAAAGTGATGAAGAAAATGTTAATAATGCAGATTAAATTTAAAAGTGTGTTTTGTCTATATTTCTTTTCCCAGAATGCTGGTTGTTAAACATTTACCAACATATCAATGCAGAGGCTCCATGTTAGTCCTTTTCCTTGCCTTTAAACAGACTATCTACATGAAATCTACAGATTATCCTCATATTCTCCTTTTCTGTGTTACTAGTTGTAAGTGACATGACTGTGCCATATGCCCATTAAAGCAGCCAAAAATCCCACCCTTTCCAGTAATCTTCTCCAGGCTAAGCTAACTGGAAATTCTTCTTTCTCTCAATTCTCATGACTCTTAATTGTACCTGCTATTCTATGTTGGTGTTTTAGCTTTTCTCCCATTACTTATCTTCTCATGTATGTATATGCTTTATCTCTTAGTCTAGATCATATGGACCTTAGAAGCCATCAAGTCTAACCCCTCATTTTACAAATGAGGAAACTGAGGCAGAGAGAGAGGTTAATTGGATTTTCCCAGGGTCACACAGCTACTATGTGTCTAAGGTAATATTTGAATTCGAGTCTTCCTGACTCCAAGTCTACTGCTCTATGCACCTAGTTACTTTCAATTGTAACCTCCTCTAGAGCAGACTATATCTTTTATTTTTCCCTAATGGTATTTTATTTTTTCCAATTACATGTAAAGATGGTTTTCAACATTCATTTCTGTAAAATTTTGAGTTTCAAATTTTTCTTCCTCCCTCCTTTCCTTCCCTCCTCTCCAAGACAGCAAGCAATCTGACATAAGTTATGCATATACAATCATGTTAAACATATTTCCACGTTAGTCATGTTGTGAAAGAAGAATCAGAACAAAAGGGAAAAACCATGAGAAAAAAATAAGTGCTTTATTATGCTTCGATCAGCATTCAGACTCCATGGTTCTTTCTCTGGATGTGGGTAGCATTTTCCATCTAGAGTCTTTTGGAATTGTTTTGGATCATTGTATTACTGAGAAGAGCTAAGTCTATCATAATTAATCATTGTACAATGTTGCTGTTGCTGTGTACAATGATCTCCTGGTTCTGCTCACTTCACTCAGCATCAGTTCATGTAACTCTTTCCAGTTTTCTTCTGAAATCTGCCTGCTCATTTTTCTTATAGAACAGCAGTATTCCATTACATTCCCCAACTAATGGGCATCCCCTCAATTTCCAACTCTTTGCCGCCACAAAAGAGCTACTACAAATATTTTTGTACATGTGGGTTATTTTACCTTTTTATGAGCTCTTTGAGGATACAGACCTAGTAGTGGTATTGCTGGATCAAAGTGTATGCACAGTTTTATAGCACTTTGGCCATAGTTCCAAATTGCTCTCCAAAGTGGTTGGATCAGTTCACAACTCCACCAACAATGCGTTAGTGTTCCAATTTTCCCACATCTTCTCCAGCATTTATCATTTTCCTTTTCAAGCAAACTGTATCTTATCCTTTTTTTTATCTTCCTCAAGCCTACCACACAGAGTAGGATGCAAAAAATATTTGTTGCTTTATCTTTCCTTCACATACTTTCACCAGTATTCATAACAAATAACCAAGGTGAAAGCTTAGGGTTTCATTTCTTTTTTTCCTCTCTCTTCCCTCTCACTGTTTTGGGTGTGATAATAAAAAACTTACCTCACAGGGCTGTGGTGAGGACCAAACGAGATAATATTTGTAAAGTGCTCTGCACAGAGACTGGCACACAGTAGGTACTTAGTAAAAATGTTTGCTTCCTTCCTAAATGATAACATCTTGCAGGCCTCCTTCCGCCCTTTTCCCCAAACAAGGCTCTCATGCCAAAACATATGTCTTTCGTGGGGATGGCAATTTTGGAAAACGAAGAGAGAATAAGTACAAAATACCCACGTTGAAATTCGCCTCTCTCCACAGTAGAGCTATGGTCCCTGGTTAAGGCTAAAACCAAGGGACTGAGCTGTCATAATAAAAAAGGGATGACTGAGGGTCCCTGAAGTCAGTTCCAGATTCAGACTTTAACTTAACACTAAATTCTCTAAAGTCCAGAACTCTTAACTTCATTTGTGTCATAGCAGTTGGGTTAAGCCTACAGAACCTTTCTAAGAACAATATTTGTAAATGTATGTGTCAAGGCAAATCAACTTAATAAATATTAAGCATCTACTATGTGCCAGACACTCATCAAGCTCTAGGAAAACAAAGAAGGGGGTGTGTGGAATTCTTGCCCTCAAGGATCTTAAAATTTCATGACAGAAACAAGTTGCAAACAACTATGTACAAACAAGATATGTACAGGATAAATTGGAGATAATCTCAGAGGGAAGGCACTAAGATTAAAGAAGTCTGGAAAAGACTTCTTGCAGAAGGTAGGAAGAAATCAATTATATTGACACAGTTATCATTTTTTAAATAAGTTCATGGACCTCAGTTAAGCATTCCTAAGTTAGAGATTAGTGAAAATAAAAATGTAATGTAAAAAAAAACTTTTTTTTTTTTTACCCATTCAATTTCAGAGACCCAGTGAAATGGCTCCATGGAACCCCAGGCTTTAAGTTCAGTCTCCTCCCTTTTTTATTTAATATAGTGAAGATAAACACAACAGTCTCCCTTTATGGAAAGACTTTCTAATAGTAAAATGGTCAGGAATTATTTCTTGTGCTACCAATAATAAGAAAGAGCAACTTAAAACCTAAAGAGAATCCTTGTGAAAACCTAGTCCCAAGTCTGGTCTGATTCCAACCAACCTCACCTCTTCCTCCTCGTTTTTCCCTTGTGCCCTTCCCAAGCCCGTTATTAATTAAAAAAAAAAATCATTCTGTGGGTTGGAGGTTTTGCTAGAATACCCTGACTTTGTACGACCTCTATGGCATGGCCCCGGCTAAATCGAGCAATTTCTGGGGAAGATAAGGGAAAGGAAAACAGCTTAAAATTCAAGTGAGGGACACAGGGACTAAGACAGGAGCATCTCTCTTTGGTGTCTTGACGGAAGAAAGGTAGAGAAATGGCCTCACCTCTGCTCTCTCCCGGTCTCCCTACCCCTCCTTTGGGAATTAGGATCATCCCACAGTAAAGCCAAATAAACAGAAGCAGCCTGGAGCTGAAAGTGACGAGCCTCAGGTCAGAATTCTAAGCTCCGCAAAACTCCAACCTTCCCATTCGCCGGGGCAATGTCTCTTTAACAGCCTGCGGTCTGTTTGGTGCATTTGCCAAGTGGGAGGGTTATGCCTTCTCCCAGCCCAACTCCCGGGATTTAATTGTCTTATCTCTCTCCACTTTTCTTTTCCAACCTGCCTGCGGAGCTTGCAGTTCCTTCCCCAGGCTGCCTTTTTTTTTCCCCTTTAAGATCCATACTCACTGGGTTGTCCCTTTCCCATTTAGGAAGCCTCCCCATGGCTGCAATGCAACCCCAAAATCAAGACTAGAGGTGAAACCAAGCAACCCTCTTCCCTCTCATCCCAACTTGGCCCAGATCGCTCAGTTCCGAATGATGATGTCGCTGGGACACTTAGCCAAAGGAGCCAGCCTGGACGATCTCATTGAGACGTGCATCCAGTCTTTTGGTAAGTTTTTCCATCTAGGATGGATGTGTCCGTGTGTAAGAACCTGTGTACGATCAATATGCACACCTATATTATTTCCGTTTCGAACATTTTGCTTGAAAGAGTAGTTTTTTAAGATTTTTTTTTTTGGCTTATAATAAGCTTTTGAAATAGTCTTTGAAATGTTTTAGACAGTCTCCTCTCCAGTACATATTGCATATGAATATGTGGGGGTGATGCTTCGTGATGAGAGGTGTGAGAGGAAGTGAAAAAAGTTATTCCTAAGGGAGATCTGTTTTTCTTGGGATCCAGTTTTTCTGCTGTGGTAGGTTTCTGCGAAACTGTATTGAAAGAATGCCTGATGAGATGCATTGTCGATTTTTTTTCCTTTTGTACTGTGGACTCCAAAGACATGTAAAAAAAAACATCAATGGCGTATTACCATCCAACAGAAAGTCAGAAAACTTTGAATCATTTGGGTAAATAAAGTCTGATAATCTCCCTTGGAATCAGAAGGGCAGTTTTGGTAAACTAAGAAAATGAGTAGGTAAAAGCAGAATACTCATGCTCGAATTACAAGAGGTTCTCACAATCAGCCCTGTTATTAAGGGTAGAGGATTTAAGAAATCGGTATGCTCTGCTACACACATTTTACCCAGTGAATTATTCATGATTTTCACTTTTGCAATGCCTTGCCTAAAAAGCCTCAACATTAGGAGATGCGTAACTGAAAAATATCAGCAGTCAAGTTCTTTTCTTGAGAGTGGCCCTATTTTTATTTCATTCAGTAAATGATGGGGTTTTTTCTTATTTTATGTAGAGGTAAATCACAGTTGAAAGTGCTCAGAATTTCACCTCCCCTTCTTCCCTCCAAAAGGAAAGACTGTAATCGGAATGAGGATTTCAGAATGTTCCTATGACACCTTTCTTTGTTGAAAAATCCCCTCCCCCTCAGCCATTCCTAATGGTCCCCTGTGTTCCTTTCTTTCCCTTTGTGAGGCCACATGGCTTAGTGAATTGGGAGTCAGTCTTGGAATTAGGAGGATGTGGGTTCCTCTGCCTCTGACAAGTATTGTCTGTGTGACCCTGGACAAGTCATTTACCTCTCAGTTTTCCGGGCAACTCTCTAAATCTAATAAATGCCAGCCTTCATTGGTAGAGATTTTCTATGCCAATGAAAGCACGCTCCCTTTATCCTTCTCCCTTTGTGAGACAGATAGCTCTGTATGCTCATGTGTCATGGAAGGACCTACCTCAAGAAACCTGGGCCAAGCACATGATAAGCATCCTTTTCGAGAAGGAAAAGCTATTGGACAATGAAACAGAGTCTGAGTCCCAATCAAGAAAAGATACAAAATTGACTCACAACTATCTTCAGGAATATTAACCCAGTTTCGTCTGATTACCTTCAGTCTTTAGAAGCCTATTTGAATTTAGAAGCCTATATGAATTTTGATCATGATTAAGAACAATTCACATTTCTATGATGCTTTAAGGTTTGTGAAGTTCTCTCCTCTCAATGATCTTGTGAAGTGAGGTAGGTAAAAGTATTATTATGCCCATTTTACAGAGGAAGAAATTGAGGGTCATTAGGGGGAAGTGACTTGCCCATGGTAATACTCAAGCTAGTAAATATCAGAGCCAAGACCAAAACTCATCTCTCCTGCCTCCAAGTCTTTCCACCATATCAACTCCTTTTCTAGTTGACCTTTAAAAATCCTTTTTTTTCTATGTATTTCAGGATTAGAGTAATGCATTACTTCTCTAAGACCTTTTTGGGCATGAGAATGAAGGGGCAAATTTAGCAGTTTTACTGATGACATTTCAGTTTTCACCTTCACTTTAATTCTCTCTTTATTCTATAACCTTTAATCATTCTGTTAAAGGGGGAACACTGGAACAGAATAAAGGGATTTTCTTTTTAAAAAGATCTGTTTTGCAAAAACAACAACAACAACAACAACAAAAACAACGGCTAAATAGTCAGAGGAAAAGAATAAAATTCTGATTGGAAAGTAATCAATGATAAACTTTTCTTTCACCTTTCTTTCAAAATGGCCAAAGCTAATGATAAAAGTGTTTCTAGATTGCTTTTCAGACTGGCAATGGGAGCTGTTTAAGAAAGTGACCTTTTTCCATTTTACAAGTGAAACATCTGAAGCACAGAAATGTTAGGTTCAGTGATGCAATTCTCTTCCCCACATCTTATCCCCGTTCACTGCTCCTCCCCTCCCCACCTTCCATCTAAGAGGCTCTGACAGTCTAGAATCAGATCTAGAGTCAGTTGAAAGGGACCTCAGAGACCATGTAACCCAATTCCCTCATCTTATAAATAAGAAAACTGAGGCCTAGGGAAGTGACGACTTTTGTCCAAGACCACACAAGCAGTAAGCGTCAGAGGCAGTGGTGCGGTGGATAGAGCACTGGCTCTAGTGTCAGGAAGATCTGAGTTCAAATATGACCTCGGGGACTTACTTAGCTGTGTGACCCTGAACAAGTCACTTAACCCTGTTTGCCTCGGTTTCCTCATCTGTAAAGTGAGTTGGAGAAGGAAATGGCAAACCACTCCAGGTTCTTTGCCAAGAGAACCCCAAAAGGGGTCACAAAGAGTCAGACGTGACTGGAAGGACTGGACAACAGCAACTTCTGACAGCTTTCCACCGGACCTTGTTTGCTGCCTCATAGAATGTAGGGATCTTCGTGCAACATCCAGGCCAACTGTCTTATTTCCTAAATGAGGAATCAGTTTCTAAGTAAAGTGACTTGCTCAAGGCCACACATCCAGGAGGTAATAAAGGCAGGACTCAGACCAGGTCTTCTGACTCAAAACCCAGTAACTATATGTGTCCAGAGCTGATTTCTCAATGCTTATCTTGACCTTCTGTGTGAAATCTTAGAATAACCATGTTCAGATCTAAACATGAGACTTTATAAGGTAATCTGCAAGGTTCAACTCCCCTAAATAAAATTTCCTTAGTCAAAGGACATGAGAATTTATCACATCTCAGAAGCTACTATGATAGGTCCTGAAAAACCTGAAAGCTATAAAAAGTCCATTGGATATCTTTATCATCATAATGGTAATAACTAGCATTTTGAGTATTTTAAGTAAATTTAAGTATTTTAAGGTTTGCAAAGCACTTTATGTATATTATCTCATATTATCCTCATAACCCTGGGAGATAGGTGCTATTATTCTCCCCATTTTACCGAAGAAGAAACTGAGGCAGACAGAGGTTAAATGACTGGCCCAGGGTCATACAGCCAGTAAGTATATGGGATTGACTTTTCTTAAGTCCAGATCCAGTCCTCTATCCACTGTACCACCTGGCTGATTTTATCCATTTTAACCATTGTAAATGTCACCTAGAAAGTATGTATTCATCAATTTATTTTTGCTGCGCAATTGTGCCCAACGAACTTTGGGCAGGCCAACGTGTTGCCATTCAAGAACTTAACACGGATTTATACAGCCAAAGACAAGTATTAAACCAAGATGAGGATGAACAGCAAAGCTGTCTATATCCCATACACCTCTACAGGAATAAATGAATTTTAGAGTCTGAAGCAAGGGTAAGAAGATAATTCGGGAGAATTAGTCAATAAGCATTTTAAGTACTTACCTAAGGCAGGCGAGGTGCTAAGTGCTGGGGATACAGAGAGGTAGAAGAATCCCTCGGCTGTCTAGGAGCTGATGGTGTAATGGGGAGACAACATGCAACTTTGTATAAATAAACTATACATGGGATAAATAATCAACAGAGGGAAGGCCCCAGCATTAAGGGAGATGGGCAAAGATCGCCTGTGGAAGGCGAGATTTTAGCTAGGATAGGAAGGAAGAGAACAGCCAGAGAAAATGCCCCCAATGGGAAGACGTGTGTCTTGTTGGAAGATTGGTGTCTGTCACTGGATTACAGAGTAGGGGGAAGGGGAGGGAAGGGCAGTGTAAGGCCTAGAAAGATTGGAAAAGTAGAGGGGGCCAGAACCAGATTATGAAAGGCTTTGAATGCCAGACAGAAGATTAAATATTCCATCTTGGAAGAGATCTTGTAGTTTATTGCATAGGGTGGCAGTAACATGGGAGGAAGCTCTCTTTGACAGCTTGAATGGAGGATCATCGACTTACAGCAGTCAGACCAACCAGCAGGCTAAAATAGGAATTTAATAAATGCTTATTAAATTGATTAACCTCCCAACGCCTCTGTTTCCTTATCTGTGGACTAGACAGCTTTTGAGGTCTCTTTCAGATTTCTGATCACATGAATTCAAGCCTTAGATTAGTGAAAGCCTGGATCTTATGGCTTTGGGAAACAAATTCGATCACTCTGGACCTCAGGCTCTTCATCTGCACCATAGGGAGGTTAGGAGGACAGCTTTGAATTGATGATCTCTCTAGTTGCTTTGAGCTTCTGCATTCTGTGTTTCTGTGAAATTCCAAAGAATGGTCAAGCTGGGGTGGGGAACCTTCGACCTCCAGGCCACATGTGGCCCTCTGGGTCCTCAGGTGTGTCCCTTTGACTGAATCCTTGAAGGCCTAAAGGGCCACGTATGGCCTTGAGGCCTGACTTTTGGATCCAAGCAAAGGGCCTCACTTGAAGACCTAGAGGGCCATGTATGGCCTCAAGGCCAGGGATTCCCCATCCCTGGGCCTCAAAAGCTTTTCATGTGGAAGGGTGAATGATAAACCTGTCTTCCGGGTTACAAGAGCTGGTGGATTGTGTGTGTGTGTGTGTGTGTGTGTGTGTGTGTGTGTGTGTGTGTGT